GAGGGAGGCAGACGTCTGTCCGAGAAAGACAGCATGTAGAAACGAGGAGGCAGGAGAAGAACGACGTGGAAGAAGCAACGCAATGAAAAGAACGAGGGGAGGGGAAAGAGCGTTAGACCGATATCTGATCACTGACATGTACCATCATGCAGCAAGCAGGAGACTATTCGAAATGTGAGGGGTGGGCTCAAACAGAAGGAGGAGGAGGAGTTCGACCTTGTGCTGCAGGAGCGACTTGAGGTCTTTGCGCTCTGCATCGGGGTCGGGGGATACGAAATGCTCCCTCCGCTCCCTCAAGCCCTCAGAGACTCGCATGACTTCCTCCATGCGCTTAGGCGGATGCCTCGATGTCGCGGGGTGGAAATCTCAGACCCGACTGAGAATGACCTCCTCTACCTCCTCGAGAAACACTTGGAGGTCATCGCCAAGTTTCCCCCGTCCTGGATCCTGGTGACCTTCTCGGGGCATGTGCTGAAGGAGGGCAAGTCAGGCGAGCTCTGCTTCCTCCTGAAAGACTTCGACGCCTCCTGGCTCGATCGCCTCGATGAAGAACCTGAAGGCGCCGTCACGCTCGGGGACATTGTGAAGCTCTGGACCAAATGGTTCGAGCATCCACGGCCTCCTGTCCTGCTGCTCGTGGATGGTTGCAGGACCATGGTTCCTGACCAGCCACAGCTGCACGCGGTTGATCTGCCCACTGGGTGGAGCATGTGCATGAGTAGGAGGACGGAAAGAGGCGAGACGATACAGGAAGCATCTTACATGCACTCGATGATGATGGACCAGGAGAACGGCATGTTTGCAGGCGGGGAGAGGCTGCGAGGTGTGCTGACCCGCATCAGGGATCAAGCTCCAGCAGGCATCGCAGTGGAGGAGAGTTGGAAGGAGGACCCAAGACTGCCGGAGATGTTTTCATTCTCTGATATAGAAGAGTTTCCTGCTGCTGTACTGCAAGATAATGATGGTGACATCCGGGAGGAGGAGGAGCAGGAGACTGGTATATAGCAACTGGGGGCCCCCTGTGTGACAGTCAGGGTCAACTTCGCGGCCACGTGTAATCTACTGATGTCACGTGATAATTTAACTTTCTACATTGTCTAAAGTTGTCGACGATGGCACAGCCAACGATCGTCTGCTCCACCACTACCGGTACTTCATGGCCCTCTAAGATCGGCCTGGAGCCGAGCCTCGCCGAGTCGGAGTCACTCCGGGCCGGGAGCCCCCAGGCAGCCCCCATGGGCCCCGACTGCGCCGCACGACTGCGCCACAGACTGCCGGCGCCCTGGCCGGCGCCCTGGCCCGGCCGGGCGCCCCGCATACAAAAATACCGGTACTAAACCCTTTTATTGGGAGTTCCTCCCCCGCAGGGCGCCCAGGTGGGCGCCCCGACTGCGGGTATATGAGGGGGGATGAGGGGTCGAATCGCACGTGATGGCGCAATGAAAGACAAGGTGGAAGAGCTGAAGGCTCATGCGAGCGAATGCATGGCGAGGTGAGAGAGGAGGAGGAGGAGGACTGAGAAGGAGGAGCAGGAGCAGGAGCAGGAGCAGGAGCAGGAGCAGGAGCAGGAGCAGGAGCAGGAGCAGGAGCAGGAGCAGGAGCAGGAGCAGGAGCAGGAGCAGGAGCAGGAGCAGGAGCAGGCTTTTCAGAAATCTTGAAAGGATCAGCAGTAATGAAGAAGAAGGGAGTGGATCGAAGAATGAGGAGGTGTTCCCGAGTTTTTCGCTGAGAGATGGGGAGAGAGGGAGGGAGTGGGAGGTGGAATTCGAGCGGGACAGGGGGAGGGGAAGGGGGACGGGGAGCGTGAATGAGAGGTTTGTGGCAGGTATGACCCAGAATCAGCTCTCAAGTTCTACGAGAAAGCGGTGCAGCTCGAGCCGAATGACGTGAACTTGCTCGATGCTGCAGGCGAACTCTGTGTGGAGGTGAAGGGGAGGAGGCGAGGCAGCGGCAGGTGGGGATGACGCAAGGGGAGCAGGTTGGGAGGTCCGATGATGCCGTCAAGCTCTTCCGAAGGAGCATCGAGCTTCGCCCGGAGGAGAACTCGTGCAAGTACATGTGAGGCAGCGGAGGTTGTGAGGGCGGAGAATGAGGTTGGATGGTCAGGAACCTCGGGCAGCTCATGGCCGGAGCTGAGAGCCTCGAGCTCTTCCTCAAGGGCCTCGCCCTGATGCGTCAGGAGCTGGGAAACGTAGCTGAGGTGGCTGCTGGAGGATGTGGAACGAGTGGGGTCTGAGAGGTTGGCAGGAGAAGGGCGAGGAGGCGAAGAAGCTGCGAGGGAGGCTGTGCAGGCAAGGGAGGAGGTGCAGGTGGCAGGGGCTGACGGGAGGCGATCAGTGCGCACTGCTCAGTAGCAGAGCTGTACATGACAGACTTGTGCGATGAAGAGAATGCGGAAGCGGTAGGCTCCTTGCGCCCCCCC